TTCTCAGGATTTTTGTCTACTTTCTTAAAGTTGATGATATTCTGACTATTCGCGTCTTTTATACTTATTAACTTTATGCTCTTGTCTTCATCATTTATCCATAATTCTGTAGTGAATAAATTCTGCTTGCTCTATCATACCCAATATTGGCTCATTTACTAAAGCCCCAAACTCTTCTAATAAGCCAATCAAAACATAGTGAAAAAATTAGCAAAAGTGCTATAGAAAATAAGCTCAACAAATTGAGCTTTTTGCTTATAGCTCTGCTCATGACCTAATTGTCAACTGGTCCTTGGCCGGTACACCAAACACTACCTCCAATGGCTAAATGTCCAGATGTATATTTACTACTTGTGCTGTATTATTTTCTTAGTCTTCCTAGACAAACATTGGCATTTGCTATAACTATTTTATGATGACACTTTTTAGGTTGAAGACGCAATTGTCCTTGCACTGGCTCAACAACGGCGCCCAAACACTGCTCGAACATCAATCTCAGGTTATATGATGACAAGCTTGGCTGGATTAACGTATTAGTTTATGATTCTCCAAAGTACCCTTCTACACACACACACACACACTAATTGGGCTTCTCTTCTGGAGTCATGCTGCATTTCCTTTTAGCAGCAGAATGGTTACTTTCTTCAAACTTTGTGCATCTCTTGGTTATTAAATCTAAGATTTAAGATACTTGGGTGACTTTCATATTTTGTGTATCTTAACCTGTAATGCATCTGCTTCTGCTGTGACAGATCTCAAGTCACCTGGTGATCCAAAGTATATGGAAGCAATTGGTGAGTTTAATATGATATTTTAAAGGCATATTTTCTTGTTCTTGGCATCATCATGACACGGCTTAATGCACAGAGAACGTTTCATAATTTCAGTTTCATGTCTCCCTTCAATTTGACTAAAGAAAATTTCTTGTTCTTTATCACTGTCTTTGTCTGTGTAAATTCTTCTGGAGTCTTCTCACCTGAAAATTTTGGGTACTTCGTTTTGATTTTAAAAAAAATAAAATTCCTTGCCATTGTGAATTTTACTCTAGCATGTGCATGTTTCTTTCTGCAGAACTGAGCCCTGAGGAGTCTGAAGATGTGCTTTTCAAGGAGGTTGGCTTCTTTACCTGCTTCTATATATATATTTGCTTTCTTTTGTGTGCCAGCCTCTGTATTTCCCTAACCAACGTTGTAATCAGTATACATGCTTCTCCTAATTCATATATCTAGTGTTGGTGGTTAGCAGCCGCAACATTATCCAATGTTTGTCTACCTAAAGAAAAACTGCTGCTTTCTTGTTTGTGTTTAATTTGTCTTCATTTTGAATCTACTTAGGCATGGCTTACTTACTTTTGGAGAAGAGCCAAGGCCCTAGGTATAGAGGAGGAAATAGCCAACAAACAGCTTCAATTTTGGATCGGCCGCAGTGCAGAATCACCAACCTCACATGATGCTGTTGATGGTACCTCGTTGTCTCAAAATATCTAATTTTCAGCTTTCAGAATATGCTATTGATTGGATTTTATGATTTCATTTAGCTTATTACTTAGCACAGTGCCTCATTCTTCCTGTCGTCGTAACTACAAGCTGCTAACTGCCAAACATGGCTCTGTAATTGTGACCTTTGTTAGATTATTGAGTGAGAACTGGCTAAATATCTTGGTCTCTCACTACAAGAAAACACTGAAACAATAATTTACTTACAAATTTACTTGTAGGGTAAGCAGGGTGTTTTATGTGTTTTTGGTCAATTAAGAACTATATTTGTAATAACACTATTAATGGGTTCCATTTCAGTTGAACAAGGGCTAATGGAGCTGAGGAAATTGGGCATTGAGCATCGACTATGGGAGGCATCTCGCAAAGAAACCGACCAGGATTCTTCTCTTATTGGAAAGTAACTCCATCCACCACACCATCAAAGATTTCATCGACTGCAAGTTAGTGTATGTATTTGTTTGCCTTTCCACTTGATGCGCCATTTTACCTTAATAATGTAAGCTAAATATATGTTGACAGATTATCCTTCACAGTGCAATAGCATAAATATATATATTACTAGATGGTCTACGTTGCTTGGTGTCTATTGTAATCAATAGTATCAATCATAATAATAAATAATCACTAATATTTTTGAATAAATAAGAAATAAATAATTTACATTTGATAGGACAAGATTTGATTCCCACTAATAATGCTAGTGAAATCTAATTCATTATTCCCAAAAGGTTGAACCCCCAACTCCAAGCCTCCCCATACCCCGTCCCAACTGAATACAGAGGTTAGATCTTTCCTTATCGTGCACAAAGTGTCCCTTCACTTTGAGAGGTTGCTCTCAAATTGTTGCTGGTGAGACTCGATTCTGCATCATTGTTCCCATACTTCATATATGTAATGTAATATGTAAATGTAATATGTTTGAGGTAGTAGGGAGGGGCGGAAGTGATTGGGATTGGGTATGTGTTGCGGTGAGACAGTTCACGGGCAACCCGAGATGCGTTTAAACCTCAGTCTCCACTTGTTTTATCTTTTAGGAAATGAATAATAAATCCCAGAGCTAAGGCTAGTTCAACCTCGTTCTCAAATTGCTCACTATCCTTGACTTGTTAGCTTCATAACCAGGGTAATGACCAAGATTCCACTCCCATCTTTTTTCCTTCTTTACACGTTTCTTCTTTCTTTTACCAACTTCCTTCATACCCAGGGCATTGTCTCTGTCCACTGTCAACCTTCTACCTTCTACCTTCTACTTACGTGTGCCTTCCAATCCATTTTTGTTTTTGTTTTCTTCTTTCTATTGTCAAATCTTTGAATTCAATAACCTTATTATATTATACTCATCCATTTTATTTTAGGTTTTAGGAGAACTTCATTTCGGGAAGTGAAGTGGGTGATTTTAATCCTTCCATTCTTAGCATTTATTCATTTTAATCTGTGATTATCATTGCCACCCTTAATTATTTTAAAAATCATTGCAATTTTTCATCACTCTATTAAAATTCATTTTAAGTTGAGAAAGCATGAATGTCGCAACTCACATGCTAAAATAGCACGAGGTCTCTTGAAATTGCGTGACACATATTTTCTCAATCCTAATAATTCTAAAATTGCAACAAATATAGTTAAAGGGTTAAAAGTACTAAAGCCTACCCACTTTTCCCTTTCATTTTTAGGGTATCCATGCTTATTGATGAATATCTTCACTTAATTGGAGCTATAATCCAAAGTTATAACCTTAGACTTATGCTAAAAGTTAATTGTTACGGCTTTGTCCACCTAAACCCTTCCGGAAACTTCCAAGGGCTAGGCTTAGTATAACAACAAAAAGTTGGTTGAGGGTTGATGCTATAGTACTATGTACGACGAATAGGTGTATAAGAAAAAAAAAATGTTTTTGAAGTGAAAAATGAGTAGCACGCAATTGTTAAGTTTGGACTTAAAATTTAAGGATCTATTACCCTTTTTGTCTTAAAGATTGATGGAGGAAATAAATTTTAACAAGTGTTTCAATTGATTTACACGCTCCTAAATACTTGTACATTAGTATTTACAATAAAATTAAACAAAAAAAATTAAGAATTTATTTTACATTAATTGACAGTGGTGCCGTGGTGGGTTAAGCGCAACGTGGGTAAAATGACAGGCAATAAAATGCAGTGGTACGTTCAACACATTGAAAAGGAAGAAGCCATCCCCGTGACTTGAACTGACCATTCAATTTCTAATGCCATACGAAACCCACAAAGGCTTCACTCTACCCTATACTAAACTGCTTACCCTATTCATATTTAAATACGGAGTAATATATTTGTCAAGTGCCTTTTCGCAACTTGTTATGTTATGTTGTGTAACTTAATAGTCCATTCTTAAAATCGAAATTTGTGTAGAGATTGCTGGCATGGGCTTTGCTCAATGTTTTAATAGACACTATTTAAGAGAAGAGTTCTGTGTTTGAATCTTGGTAGCAGTAGTATAGGGATTATGTTTAAAGTGAGCAGATCCCTTGTGGTTAGGATTCAATCTTTAGGGAAAAGAATTTGTATAAAGAGTGAAGAACTATTGTTTATATTAATGTTACAAAGAATTATTACGGAGTATTATTTATACTAATGTCTTATTGGAATTTAAAGAGTATCAAAGAAAAATGATTAAGCCAGTATAGCTAAGGTGACACCTCATCTGATTCATCTCTAGTGTAACAATGGTGTCGTTAGTGTGAATGCAATAACTTATGTTCACACATATCAGAAGGTAAGTGCTAATTTAACATTAGGGTCGAATACAAAGTAAAAAACTATACTAATATTTTCTTTAAATGCAAATAGTCTATAAGAGCATCCACACTAAGAGGAGAATGTAGAGTTATTTCAGAAATAAATCACTCAAGCCAAAAATAATACTGATGTGGGAATGTGTTATTTGAAAAAGAATGAGTCTGCAAATTATGGGTTAATATAAAAAATTTTGAAAAAGAAAATGAAGAAGAAGAAGTAAGGCTGTGTGCGTTTCGCGCACAACCTGAGCAAAAGCCGAGCGCGTGCACTGCACGCGCCTGATGGTGCGTCAGGCGCGCCGACTGACAACATTAGTTTTTTAATTTTTTTTTAAAAAAAAAAATTAATTTTCTCTTTTATTTTCCTCTCCCATTCCCCTTCTCTTTTCTAATCACTCTTACATTATCCCCACATTCTTCCCAATTGATGCGGATGCTCTAAACAAAATGATTAAGCTATCGAGAGCAATGTGAAATCTCATTTTCCATAAGAAAATATGATTAATGTGAACACAATAATTATTATTCACACTTACCAAAGAGTGAGTGTGCAGTTTCAATCAATATATACACAATAAATCATAGTATTTAATTAAACAAACAATCATTACATCATTACAATCTCTAATAAATACTCAGTATCTTTTAATAATAAATATTACATCTCTATTTATAACCTAAAACAATGGATTATGATAATCCAAAGAAAATGTATGAAAGGGTAAAATTGTACTTTGAACGCGACGAAAGGTTCCCCAGTACGACACGCACTTTTGCCGTTTTGCCAGCGAAGAAGAACAGCAGGGTTGATGGCTGATACTCTGATACTATATGAACATCCCAAGCCTAGCAGATGAACATTTCTCTTCTCTCTCTGCCCCCACCGGCACCGCTATCCCGAACCCGACAATTATTCCGCTTTCTCCATTGATTTTTCATCTGTGTGGTCGAGCAAGAAGCCCAGAATGGAGCCTATACAGCAACGAGCGAGCTTGGATGAAGACGACGGCGGCGGAGGAGGAGGAGCGGCGGCGAAGGGGTTCGCATGGAACAGAAACGACGGCGTTGGAGGAAGAATCAAGCGAGAAATGAAGGCGCCGTCGTATTGCTGTGAAAGTGACAGTGGGTGGTACGTGAATAGCCATAATGGAGAAGACCCACCACGGTCATCTTCCTTGTTTCAGGGCTCTTCTTCACAGGAGAATTGTGATTTCTCGACGCCTCTGTTGCAGAATCCTATGGAGTCGGCGGGGTATAGCGGTGGTCTTCACCCTACTGAATCCCCTCTCTCGGCGGCGGCGTTTCATCCCAAGCCGCCTTACTTGTCTTCGCTGCTCAGCGCGGTTTGCAACTACCCGTTCGACGATAATCTGGATTTGCTCAGCGATTCCGGGTTCTCGGATACTCCGGCTTGGAATTCAAATGATTCCATGGGGTTTCACGGGGGGTTGGGTTCACAGATGAGGCTGGTGGATTCCGATTTGGGGTTTGTTTCCCCGGCGGAGGCGCGTTTGCTCCCTCTCGCCGACAATGGCGGCGGTTTTAGCCCCCCGCCGGGTTTGGATGGATATGGAGCGATGGTTTTGAAGCCGCTCCATAATAATAATAGTCCATCCCCGGGGATGGGGAGCTCTAATCTGAATCTCTTCCAGAAGAGACTGGCTATGCGTCAGAAATCCGGAGAATTTCAAGAAAATTCTCAAATCACCATTGGAGGCATAGGGTCATCGCTGCACACGAGCGGCGGCGATGACATCACCGGGATGAGTGGGTGGCACTCGGATTCCGACGACCCGTCGGAGAACGTGAATGATGGATTGGAGATTTCGAACGCCAATAGTTCAGTGATTGACGGGGACCCCAAAGGGAAGAAGGGGAGACCTCCGGCGAAAAATCTTATGGCAGAGAGAAGGAGAAGAAAGAAGCTTAACGATAGGCTATACTTGCTTAGGTCTGTCGTCCCTAAAATCAGCAAGGTCAGATAGAATTCATTTCCCTCTCCATTTGGAAAATCTTCCCATGATTTTATTCTTAAACCTTTGTAACCCTAGCCGGCAAAAAGATAACAAAGAGGTAAACGAGCTTAGTTTGTCTATAGTTGGCCAACTCAAATTAAAACGGTCCAGAAGGAGATAAACCAATCTAGGTTGTTCATAACTGATCGACTTAATCCAAGAAAGTCAATAGGTTGCTTCCGGGGAGTCAAACTTGTGACCTTGTGGTTACTAAGTTAACAGTTTCATGACCTTAGCCGGGCTCAAACCTAGATGACCGATAGGTCGCTCTCACTAGGAGTTGAACTTGTAATCTTGTTATTACCAAGTTAACAGTCTGACTAACTTGCTAATATATTAGCTTGAGACATTATGCTTTAATGTAACTATTGTGGTTCCCTTGAGGGTATAACAAATTTGTTGATTGCTTTTTATGGATATTGTTTGACCTGTTAAAGGACCATTCTTGATTGAATTAACATTGCTATTGTGATTCTAGATGGACAGGGCCTCCATTCTTGCTGATGCTATTGATTACTTGAAGGAGCTTCTACAGAGGATCAAGGACCTAAACGATGAACTACAGATGTTGGCATCTAATGGCTCTTCTGTACCGCCTGTTGCTGGACTTCTCCCGTCCACTTCTGCTATGCCTACCCTGCCCTTTCCCGTGAAGGAGGAATCTTGGAAAACCTCGTTACCAAGCCCAAATAATCAGCCACCTATGGTACATTTCCCCGCTGTCCTTCCTAGCCATCATGTCGATTTAGAATGTTTGTGATAGTTACTAATATTTTCATCTCGATGCTCTCATAACCTAATTAGAACACCCCAAGAAAGTCTACCATTTTGTGTTTTCTGAATTTAGATTAGGTGTCAATTTGATTTTGTAATTTTGCGTTTGAAAGGACTCAGTTTTGCATGTGGCTTAGAAGTAGTCTAATTCGTGCTAGTTGCAGTTGCAGATCAGCTATGTTGTGCTGTGCAATGAGCGTTACGATTTTCCTTCGTTTCTACTTTCTCATATCCTATGCGGTTTGTTAAATTGCAGGTCCACGTCGAGCTCAGAGAAGAGAACGCTTTCAATATCCACATGTTCTGTAGCCGTAGGCCTGGGCTCTTACTCTCCACGATAAAGGCGTTGGACAACCTTGGAATGGATATTCACCAGGCAGTCATCAGCTGTTTCAACGGTTTTGCATTAGACGTTTTTAGAGCCGAGGTAAGTTTCCTTTGCATTATCAAGCACGAACCTTTCAAAATCTCGAAATTGCACCAATAGCTCATTCTCGGGAATGCTATTCTTAGCCATGAAAAGACAAACCAAACAATGGAATAGGTCTGTTCGCGGGAATGGTATTCAATTCCCGACCTATTCCATGAACCAAACACTCTGTATAAGTTGCGATCTCTTAAACATGTCGAGAACTACCTCAAGTTGATTGAACATAAAACTTGTGAATCTATAACTCGTATGATTGATATGCGTCTATTATATTTTTTGTTGAACAGAAATGTAACCAAGTGATGGATGTTCATCCCGACGAGATCAAAGCTGCTCTGTTGGACACCGCCGCCTTCCATGGGTTGGTATAATAGACTTGGTTGTTGTCTCAAGGAACAGTTTAGAATTATGGGTTTGGGATTTGAATGCTAACCTCAAGGTTGTTTGTGAGCTTTCTTAGTATGAAAAGCAATTTGTTAATTTGGAAGCCTAGTAACTAATAGGCATGGAAATAGAGAGTCTGAAAATGTTGCATAAATTTAGCAATTAGGGCTTTTGTACTCTATTGTTTTGTGATAAACTTGATGTATTAAGTAATGCCTAAAGTCTAAACCCTCAATTGGGAATGATGTAATCCAGCTATATGGTCCTTGTTTTTGCTTTACTAAACACTTTAATGATTATACAGAAATGTGGATCAATGGATGGATTTTTTTGTCAGATTTTTAAAATATACTTGTACACTAATGTTTACAATACGACCAATTTCATATCTCCGAGTAGGAATCAAACCCTGCATCTTACAACTTTTAAGTTCTAACGAAGAAAAGTTAGGTTAACCAGTTGAGTTATGCTCATTTTACAAGGTCCACATGAAAAAAATAACCTATCAGAGTCCACCACATCAGGGAGTACGATTTGGGAGTACATGTAGTAGAACTGATGCTGAATACCCTTTTCCCTGAGTCAAGATCCCTGAAAAGTAGTTTTTCTACTAGCAGATGCAGCTTTTTAACATTTGTACAATCTGGCAATTGGTACTGTTCTCTTGTAGAGCTCATGAATTTGGGTCTCACCATGTCTCCTAACTTGTTAAATTTAATCAACCACAACTTCATCTCTATAGTACACATTCCAAGGCCTACAACACATTATTATCAAGTGCCCAACAACACATGGTTTGTGTGAAGTCTGGTTTAATTTTTCTTAAATAAGACTTCGAGTTCAATTCAAAACTTATATGAATAGATAGAAACAGGTATTGAGAGAGCTCTTCATGTGAAAACACACATTAGTTTGATATCAAATTACTTGATACTTAATATGATTACAGAATAATAGATTTTTTTTTATTAGAATACAGAAAAGATTTAAAAATAAATAAAAATAGTGGTATCTACTATGAATATGATAAATGCCCCCCTTGCAAATTAGTATAAGGTAAATATATTACCTTCAAAACTTGTAGGTTGTCCGCACCAATTTGCATTGGTGCGAATTGCATGTGCCAACCAGAAAAATGTTTTTAATAATAATAATCTTCTCAAAAATAATAATAATAATAATAATAATAATTTTTATTAAATCTAATAAGACCCAATAAAGTTAGACCTACAACTGGAACTAAAAAAATGTTGATCTAATTATTTATTGGAATGAATAGTTCATATTATTTTGATTCAAGTATGTTAGTCTAATTGTTTGTTTTGATGCAATGATGCAAAATTAAAAGAGTATGACTAAATATAGCAATCCACAATAATTTATTACTAAAATTGAAATTATGAGAATGCCACTGCACTTTTTTCGTTCTCTTTTTCTTATTTTCTAGCTATTTCTCTTTTTCTTATTTTCTAGCTATAGATAATTCAGATGAATAGATAAAATAAATCTATACTTTTTATATGAGATTTGTTTTTATATGATTTTTTTATACATATCATCTTAATACTAAGAGCGCAAGTCCTAACATAATACACATAATCTTACATAATACATATAACTCTTAATAGAATACATATTAAAAAAAAAAAAATTGTAACCGACGAAATGATATTTACTGTGTCAATTCACCACACAACTTATAAAAACGATGTCGGACGATATAACGATTAATGTTTGGCCATAACCAAATATGGACTATAACCCAAACAAATGTTTTGGTCCTGAAAGGCTAAAACTAACTATTTTAGCAACTAACTGTTATGGCCCAAAATATGGTGTTGATAGGCCAAACGTACAAGGACAAAGGGCATATGTCATCTGCACGATTAATATCATAGGAAAAATTATCATTTTGATTTTTCAATTGTCAATGTAATTTCTAATTTTCAATTTCAACTAATTTGATTCTTGAATTATTTAAAATCTCATCAATTAAATCATTTCAATGGATCAAGATACTAATTTCTCTATTTTAAAAATTTTGTCAATTTAATTTTCGAAGAATTTAATTGATGAAATTTTAACCAATTGGATGATGTTGTTATCCAAATAGCAACAGTGTCAGCACATCACATGCATGATTGTCACGGTTAGATGATTGGTACTCAACACTTGTGTTAAAAGACAAAGTTGACAGGATGAGCATTTTCCCAAATAGGACTTAACCACTTAAATCACACATCAAAAAGCATTCAAGTTTTTGTGATCATCTTTCACCTAACCATTCTTTTAAGGCAGTTTTATCACACCCATAATGCATTACATACCAACTGCAACTCTTTTTGGCTGAGTGCCCACCACCCATTTAGTAAACCATTTGTTGTTCCACTTAAAATCCTACTCACAAAAGACAAAATCTCTCGTCCCAAAGACCTTCATACAGTAATCTGAAAGAATGGTGGAGGAGTTAATCGCAGTGACCCACCGACCTCTTAGGTCTGTTGTTGTCAGATCTTGATCATACGCCCTTACCCGTAATCTATCGCTTAAGTACAAAGTGAGCTATATCCATGCGGACCTCAGCTTTAAAATCTTGTAGAGAAATTGATTGTGGGATGTATTTTAAGTAGTTAGGGGTAAAAAAAAATTGTTGCATTGGTTATCACAAGAGATTCAATTTCAAACCATGTTACTGACAAGAATCGAACCCCCACCCTATGATTATCAACATTGTTGCGATTTACCTTCCCTATTAGGCTTTAACTAAATTGAAATTGCAATTGAACTCAATGAGCACTAGCATTTGGCCATTGCACACCCTAAATGTCTTATAGGGAGATAAATAGCGAGATTTATTTTAATGACTCAAAGATAAAGAACTTGTTATATTGGTTCCCATAGGGGGTTAAATTTCAAACTAGGTTACTAATGAGAATTGAACCTTTTTTTGAAAAAAAAAAAAAAAAAAAAAAAAAAAAAGAGAGAGAATTGAACCTTCACCGTAAGACTGTAAATGTTGCTGAGATTTATTTTACTTCCCAATTAGACTTTAACTTGAAATTTAACTACGGAGTATCATTGAAATAGAGAGAATTCAGAATTCTATATATATTTTTAGGTAACGAGAAAGACTCATAGTATCATCTAAGAATACTATGAGTATAATAATGAGAAAGGCACCGGATAAATCTATCTCTTGTATAATAACTTACAAATCATACTATAAAGACTTTATACAACATGCTCAACTAAAAAAATATTAACAAGAAAATTTCAAAAATTAAAACTCTAAGAAAAAGTGAACTCTTTTTTACTAAAATCACAAGCCTCGTGTTCTACAACAATTTATCCTAAAGATCTCACCACTAGGTTACATATACTTATTTAGCTTACAACTCATTAGAGCTTATATAATATTATTATCAAAAGGAGAAAAAGCTGTTTAAAGTCAAATAAAAGTTCTTTTTCAAACAACTTCACAATTATGCTTTCCAATAAAGCTTTCTTTCTTCAATAAGTTGAAGAAAAGAACTAAAGCATTTCTCAAACATGATTTTACATATAGAGTGTTGAGTATTTACTTGGCTAGTCTTATTCCTTGCCCTAAAAGACAAAATTTCTTCCTTCCCATAAATTTCACACCCTGAACTATCAAGATAGTAAATAGTTAAATCATAGTAACTCAACGACCCATTAGATAATCGTTCAAAAAAAAAAAAAAAAACGACCCATTAGATAAGAGAATAATTGTTTGGTAGTCACAAAGAGCCCACCACTATTACTATAGCTCGACTATCTGTCCTTATCCACAATCTATCACCTAGAAATCAACTGAGCTACCAGAAGCGCAATCAAATGCTTACCATTATACCGAAAGCTATAGAACGTAACAAAGACGTAATTTTATTTCCTTGTATCGCCACATTTTTTAGAGGCCGAGACTTACCTTCCGGCTTTCGCCCAACAATTCTCCTTGTCACCTGATGATGCTGAACTTTGTCCCTTCACCGACCTCTACCCAACACTTATATCTCTATCAACCGAGTAATAGTGAACATCCCGCAGCCAGATGAAGACAAACATTACACAAGGAGTTGATGTTAATCCAAAACAAAACTAAATGATTTCAGAAGAAAAGTTGTCTGAAAAAACAGACAACCAAACCAGCCCTACCACCATTATAAGGTTAAGAAACCATTAATGCAGATGTCTTCTTACATAATAATTTCCCCCTTTCTTTTTTGCCTGTTAGGAATTAGGAAATGTGTTTGTAGTATCATCATTCATCACCTTCCTTCACAAACAACACTTCATTTACATGCCACTCAATCATCAGAGTTCAGAATTTTCAAGTTACAGTAAAGAGTAAAGACCCTACTTGTGTCGACCAACCATTTTCATTAAAAACATAGAAACCTTAAAGAGCATAATGGTTGTTTCCATGGCATAACTAACCCAATAAGCAACTAGTTTGGATAACTTTGCATAGAAAGAAAGCCCCGAAAACAACCTAAAGCTCTCTCAGCAACGTACTTTGCAGGGATCGATCTGATCTTCAGAAACTATTTAGTTGCGTGAGCATTGACACGAGCTCGTCGCTGGAGGGGCGATCGGTTGGCATGTCAGACAAGCATACAACGGCTATTTTTACTGCCATTAGCATCTCGTCTTCCTCCATTTCCTCCCCGAGAATACTCTTGTCCAACGCTTCCCGAGCCTCGCCTGCTTCCTGCAGGCGGTGCAGCCACCGCCCCAGACTTCCCCCGCTCGATGCATCGTTAAAAAACGGGTCCATTGGGTTTCGACCAGTTAATAGAACAGCCAATATGACTCCAAAGCTGAAGATATCGCTCTTGTCAGTATACCTACTGTAAAATCATCACAAGTCACAACTCAGTCCTTGTCCAGTTTCAGAAACAATCTAAATAAATTTGCATAGCAAAAAAGGAAGAAATCACGACCAGCAAGAAATAGGTACAGACGAAACTAATCCAATCAATTCCTTTAATCATTGTTGAGCATATAACCATTAATGTGCAATCTAACTATCAGCTTTTAGGCTTTTAGTTGAGATGGTGCACATGTTTCAATTTGGTATCAGAGTCAGACCAAACAAAACAAATTTTGTAGCAACCAAACAAAACTCAATGGCATACCATACCATGATCAACAAGAAGCATGTACTCGTATTAATTATCATTGATCAACAAGAATCGCTATGAAAGAACCATCATTGTCAAAGCATTTAACAGGTCGAGATAGCAAAGTTGAAAACGAAAAACGAGCACAATTAACAATTACTCCAAACGAAGGCTATGTGAGCACAGTTTTGGTGGTTACCTGCAGCTCTGGTAAGACTCAGGAGGGCTGTAGCTCGATGCTGCTCGATCAAAGTTAGGGATGATTTTAGCCAATCCACAATCAGCCAACCGAGGCTCGGATTCTGCATCCAACATTATATTGGAAGGCTTCAAATTGCAGTGCAAAAATCTCGGGTTGCAGGTGAAATGAAGATACTGGAGCCCCTTAACGATCCCAACTGCAATCCGAAGCCGGGCTTCCCATTTAAGCTCCAACTCATTCTCCCTCACCCTACTCAGAGCATCTTCAAGGCTCCCGGTGGGCATGTAATCGTAAACCAAATAATACCTATTCGATTCCCGAACATAAGCCCTTAAACTCATCAAATTCCTGTGTCTTAGGCTAGCAAGCGCCTCAAGTTCCTGTTGCACCCTCCTCTTCACAGATTTGGTCTGAGTCTCGGGGGAGCCAGATTCGAAGGTTTCGAGCCACTTGACTGCAACAGTTAGCCCATTATCAAGAACAGTCTTGTAGTATTTTCCGTTAGGGCTCGAGCCAAGCAACTCGGGTTCATTCGCAAGAGCAGCTTGAAGAGTCTTGGGAGGGATTTTGGGGGAAAACACAACAGGACCCTTTAGAATTGGGGCTTTGTTGATATACCTAACAAAGCACCTAACTAGCCAAGCAAAGAGAAGAGCAGAAATCAAGCCTGTTAAGGTTCCAAGAAGAATACTAAGCAGAATCCTCTGAAACTTGTTCCTAAATTGAGGTGGAATAGGGGGCACAGGAGGCTCACTTGAGTTATCCTTGACAACCCATGATTGGCATTTCACACAACTCATATCCAAGCAGAAAATGCACAACAAAAACACTATCTTGACACTTATGCTGCAAGAATTGCAGCTAAGGTTTCTCATCTTCTTCCCCATAGAAACCTTAAAGCTTCCAGCTAAGGTAGTCTCAGAAGAAAGCCTTAAAAGTCACAAAAGACTCAACATAAACCCCTGGCATAAACTGAAACCACCTGTTCTTAGGGTTTTGAAAAGCAACCAAAACAAAGATACAAACTAAGCAAGGCTCCAAATTTCTTCAAGAAAATGCCCATAGAGCTACACACTCTGTACAAAAGGGAAGATAAAGAGTGGAGGGTATGGGGTTATCACATTCTCTGAAGGAATCTTGAAGCTGCAAAACACAAAAAGTCTCCAACTTTACAGATAAAAAAAATGCCCAAAGAAACCAAACCAGCAAAGCTCCAATGTAAGGGATAAAATATATGTAGTAGCAGACAGAATCCCTGTCACGAAATCTTCACAATGAAGAAAGATGGAATTAATCCCATAAAAGAATACAATATCCCCAGGAGAATCAAAGCCACTGGTCAAATACCCACATACACTCAAGTCTCAGAGATGGAGGGTGGAGAACACAAGTATAGTGAGCTTAGAAAAGCCCTTTTTTGTCAATGCAATCAAGAATTTGCTTGAAGAAGGCGCATGAGAGAATGGGGGGCCAACCAAAAACATATTCCTTAACCATTCATACATAAAACTCCCTCAAAGGAGGAAAAAGAAAAGATTTTTTTAGAAAAATAAAAAATAAAAAAAAAAAATCAGCAGGGGTGAAAAGAAAACTAATCAGGATTTTGTCTACATTAAAATAAGAAATTATCTTAAGTATTAGGTATAACTGTTCGTTTCTTTTCCTGAAATGTGACGTTGTTTAATCAGTAGTTGAGTAGAAGAAGAAGAAGAAAGAAAGAATGGGGAGGCGGCATGCGAGCTTTTATGCCTTTATCTATTCCCAGAATCCCCACTCTTTTCTGCTTTGTTTCCTTTCATTCGTACACCTAATAATTACTTTCCCTATGTTATTTTTCCATAAATTTTATAATGCCCATCACTCAAAATACAATTTTTACTTTCACTATTTATAAAAATGTTTCTAGAATTTTTTTTTATAATAATAAAAAATTTTATCATTCGAAATAACTTTTTAAAATAAAAATCTAAATATATTTAAATGCATGTAATTGTATCAATCATAAGCTAATTGATGTGTTGTGAACTGGGGTAGTGGTGTATGATTTAGAGCGATACTTTGAATGTATTTTTCTTTTTAATAAATTTGTTATTAAAAGAAGTTAATAGAGGTTATAAAGTTTTTTCGAATAACACTCGAAAATAGGGTGTATTTGATAATGTAATGATTTGCAAAATTCTTTAATATGACTATATGAGATACTTAATATTTCATGAGCAAATAAAATAATGATTCTTGTGTAATTTGTACATGGTTGTCGTCTTGTCAATTCTCGATAGCCTCGCAAAGATAGCTATAGAGAGTGGTGTTGGATGGAAGGAAACGAGCAGTATGTCATGAGAAGTGAATCGGGCTTACCTAGAGGATAAGAGAGGTATTCATAGTGTTAGGAATGCGTTTTTCGCACTTTTAGTATCACGAGTATTGTGGCACTAACATGATTGATCCACGAATTTCAAACCTTGCAAACTTGATACACGGTTATCATTTTTTTTTAACACAAATGGTCCTTCCGGCTAAATTTCAGTCCATTTGTGACCGGGAAAAAAAATTATAGCAGGGTTGAGCCGTGGATGGAAATTTAGTCAGAATGACCATTTGTGCTATATAAAAAAAAAAAAAAAAATGATCGTCGTAGATCAAGTTTGCAAGGTTTGAAAAGTCATTGGATCAATCATGTTAGTGCTACAATACTCGTGGGACCAAAAGTGCAAAAAACTTTGTTAGAAAGGTTGTAAGCAGCAACATTGGAGCTGCCTCTCAAAATGAGGGGGGATCCTAGTTGGCAATGAGCAAAAGTCTAGCATATATTGATCAATTGAGTCACCATGATAATAACCCATTTACAAACTGTCCGGTCAGAGTGTGGGGTGCTTGGGGTGGGCAATTCCACCTTTTGTCACAAGAAAGGTTGTAAGTAGTGATAGATAATCATATGTGTCCCACCTTGTACCCAACAATAAATTTAAAAAAAAATATATAAAACCATATTATCCTCATATTGTAATGTGAAAATTATATTTTAGTTAAATAATTTGTAAATTGTAATTGGTTACAATATGCAAAATGCAAATAAACATAGTCCCCAATTGTGTCCAATTTGGGCAACTTTGGTCCCTCATCAACCTACTTCAAAATTCAAATATGGAGGGTATTTTGGTCATTTTGTTTCAAGGTTTCTATATGAGTAGGAGAAAACCCAGAGTTTTCAAATGCAGTCAGTCTTTGGCTATGACACCAAAAATGCTAACCTACAAAATAAAAGAAGCTAATATTGTACTTAGTTTAAAATCTCTATTAAAGAAGCAAGAAATTGGGAGCAATTATTGTCAACCACGGCTTTACAAAAATAGCTTTTAAAACACTGCTCAAAGCTATTATAAACTTCCAATTTATTGTTGTACATGCCGAAAAATATAATATATAAACATAAATATATAGGCGTATAGCTTAACTATAAATGTAGACTATTAGTTGAAATGAAATATATTCTTTAATTTGATATCAGAGCTAGCCTCATGCACAATATCATGGATGAGTCCGAATTTTTACATCACCTGCTCGCACACGTAAAGAGGTGTAGTATTGAGCATATAATATATAAATATAAGTATGTAGTTCACCTATTGTGGGATGAAAATAGTCAATTGTAACAAACATAAATGTGCAATTTAATTATTGTGGGAAGAAAATAGTTAATCATGACGAACTTTATGAGAATTAATACAATTTACAAGAAGTATATAATGTTAATAACAATTAAGAGAGACCTAAGAGCACTACAAGAGTTTTATTTTATTACTTAGAAATGCAAAAGACGTTACACGATTATAATTATTACTCCGTATAATATAAAGGTGACGAATCTTATTTATGAGTGAATAATAATTGCAAGATTATGGTATTCCAAACACAACTATAGGTAAGCTTACAAGCTCCCTTTCCATTAAGGTTAGTTAAATAACTGATATCTTAGCAACATGCATTTAATGTAGAGTTATCAAAACGGATCGAATGTTGTTTAATCCATTTTTAACGCCGGTTGCATCATAGCTATTCACAAGTAAACCCATACCGTTTAACCCATAGGTTATACGGATTTGCCTATATTAACTCATTTACATTTTATATATTTAAATTTTATTCTTCCAAAAAAAAAAAAAAAAAAAAAAAAACCTGAACCCCAATCCTAAGGGCTCCCATGGGAGGATCTAAATCATGGTAACTCAACTGAACATGAATTACAGAGGCTAGACTTTTACTCACTGCGCACAAGGAACCCCTCACTTTGAGAGGTTGCTCCCCTAACCTCAAAATTGACCAATTCTCACTACAACATATATACTCCCTATGCCTTATTTTACATAGATTGTTACTATTCATTAGTTTAACTAACTCTTTCTTCTTTACTTATTTTCTTTAGTATTTTAAAATTATTTTTATTATTAATTGTTTGTATTTAATATTACTTTTAATGTAGTTTCTAAATATATAGATTTTATATAATAATGAGTAATACTAAACTTTGGGATAAGAGTAATACTAAACTTAGCATTATGAAAAAATTGAATTAAAAATAGAGTTCTAATACATGTACTCTCTAATCTTACTCTCTAAATTTTACTCCCTGATATGACATATTTGGATAAGTTTTTTTTTCATGTGGGTCCCAATACAAATGACTACATCAAGGTTTTGTGTGTAGGAGTATATGTTGGGAGTATAAAAGGGAGTACATGTAACATTTTTCTTAAAAATAACTTCAATCAAGCATCGTTAGCTGAACCAGACAAATAAAATAGGACGGAAGGAGTAACACTTACAAACATTATATACACACATAATTTATATATATATTTAAAATAATCATATTATGTTTACAAATATTTATTAATATGCTTGATTAATATAACTTTATATAAATATTAATTACTATAATTATATAATCAAACCAATGCGGGAGGAGTTAAATTTAGAAGAATTAAATAGTCGTCGCTGGGGCGGTGTGTTTCTCACCCAAAAAAAAAAAAATTGTAGGATTAGATTAATTTTTTTAGATTATTGATGAATTAAAATTGAAATTATATTTCTTCAAAAAAAATTTTGAAATTATTTAATAATTAATATATTTCTCTCTCTAAATCTCTGTCTCTACAGAAAATACTGTACTATAAGCGGGAAAGTAGGCGGGACCCACGGCCACGTCGACGGATTGCCATAGGTTAGCTGGTCTCACTGTCTCGGGGCCGAAAGCGAAGCCCTCAAAACCTGTGTATAAAGGGAGGACGACAGGAAGATCTGGAGCGTTGGGAATGCCAAGATGATTATCCGCCGTTGGATGTGTAAACAGTAGAATTTTGTTGGTTTTTTTTCTCTCCGTATATTTTTTTTCAGAAATGGGGAAAAAATGTGTATTGGGGATTAGAGAAAGTTTTCTGTTTTTTTTTTTTTTTTTTCCTTAAATTATTAATTTTAAATTTAGTTTTATTTTTGTTAGATGAATAATTACCTTTTTTACTGTCGCAGGTCCTTCTTGTCCAATGTCCCTCCGATCGGCCAATGCTACCGACGCACGCGAGAAGTGGGGGCCCTTTTTTTACTTTTTAGAATTTAGATTTTTTTTTTTTTTTTTGAAAGCTAGAATTTAGATTTAAAAACTTGAAAAATGACTCAACAATACAAGTATATAACTATTGACTAAAGGAAAAATAAGAATATGTTGAGTACATGTTGATTTATGCATCTTGTTCCAAAATATAATTATTTACTAGAATCATAGCGCAAAATGCGCCTTGACCCAAAACGACGTCGTTTTATTAAGTTGTGTGGGAAATTAATGCGACGGAGTTTATGTGTACTCTGTTATACAAGAGTAAATACCAAAAATGGTCCCTCGACTATAGCTAAATTCACAAATTGGTCCTCGACTTTCAATTTCAACCAATTAAGTCCTTAACTTTGTAATCTTGACACGATTTGGTCCTCCATCTATTTGACTGTTTGTTGACCGTGATCGACGACCTCCAGAAGAACTTCAGCTCTCGTCGGAGCACGTGCAGACCTCCAGGATGACGTTGCAATGGTTCGGAAACACGTCGTCTTCTTGGCTCTGGTACGAACTCAACTACATTGAATCCAAAGGGAGGATGAAGAAAGGCAATCGGATTTGGTAGATTGCTTTCGGCAGTGGATTCAAATGTAACAGTGCGGTCTGAAAATGCAACCAGAACCTTAAAAAACCGACGATGGACCATGAAATTACATATATATCCTCAAATATCACAGTCAACAAACGGTCAAATAAACAGAGGACCAAATTGTGTTAAAATTACAAAATTAAGGACTTAATTGGTTGAAATTGAAAGTCGAGGACCAATTTATGAATTTAGCTATAGTCAAGGGACCATTTTGGGTATTTACTCGTTATACAATTATGTACATCTGAAACATGCAATTTTTTTTTTAAGAGTTAAGAGTTTATGTCGTTATGTGTATTATGTATTATGTATTATGTTAGATTATGTGCATTATCCTTTCAAAAAAGATTATGAGATTTTATTATACAACTATATACATTTGAAATATGAGATTTTTTTTTAAGAAGTTAACCGCAGGAAACGAAATTTTCAAATATATATATATATATATATATATATATATATATATATATATATATATATATATATATATATATATATATA